GGTAATTGAATTTGAAACTGGTTCTGGAATTGACTGGAAAACCGCTCCACTTTACATCGCAATGATGATACACATTAAGTTAATTACAATTTCCCCATTTTATATAACTATTATCCGCGACGGTACGCACCTAATCCCAATTATAGTTAATAACCTAGTTCTGACCCAGTTCTCCTCTCGACTACAAAACACACACGGATTGAATCGATTGTTACCCAAACACACGTCATTTCTTCCACTTGTCTCTAAAGTACTACCTACACCTCCTTCTCGACCCTACGTGCGAAAGCACGAAATACATCGCATAAAGCATCCGCGCCGAACGAGAAGAAGAAAAGACCGGGATTGCATTCAATTGGATTTGTCCTCCTCGCGGATAAAGTGGAATTCCCCATACGATTCAAACGAAAAGAAAATTGCGGTCTCTCGGACCAAAGCAAAGGAATTTAATCCCATTCAAATGCAATAAAATACAAGAAAAAAAAGGTCCCCACGTACTTCTTTTTGCCCTTTTCCGTGCAGACGTAAAGGTCGTGGTATAGACACAATACATCCTTTGTCGATCCTTGCATCGCTATATTCCTGGCAAAGCAATTGTTGCAGGTTAATTAATTGCCAATTCTACTAATGAGAGCGGCGCAGTACACGCCCTCGTTAAATTACGCTACAAACTCAACTCCCCATGATCTAATTGCTTACGTAACTAGACAATCAAATTTATCGTGAATTTAATTAGTGACTTTGTCAGAAGACGTTAAGGATAGGGGTGCTGCGAAAGTAGGAAGAATCAGCTTTTTTTTCGTGTCGTTTTTTTTTTTTTCAGAAGAATTACGTTGAAACATTTGCATTGCGCATACATTTACATTCATTTCCATTCTTAAATTCAATCAAATTTATCAGTTAAATTAAATCTTTGCGAACATTTTTGCATTTACTATTGTATTTAACTTTAATGTAAATCGCATTTGGAACATGTTCATGCATTTTTTTTTATCTCAGAGTGAAAATGAACTTCCTCTTTATGAAACACTTTTATATTTAAATATTAACTTCCGTTGGTTTTTAGCTGTGAGGTTGAATTTTACATTTATTAAATAAAGTAAATTATTCATTTTAAACCAATATTTAATTAAATGTATGTATCTTTTATGTCTGTTACAAATATACAAAAATAATATTAAGAAACCTTTTGAAATAATTGCTAAAATTTCTATTTTATATCTAAGTCAATCAATACTTCAATAAGAAATAATTTACTGTATGGAATTTATCAAGTAAAAAAATTGTGATTTTAATTGTAAATCCAGTTCAATCTTTAAATCTTTCTAATGCATTTGGTATAAATTGTTGAATTATTTCAATCTATGCTTAATTTTCGTTACGTAATTTAAATTGGTTTTATTTGTACATAATTTAGTTACAGTTTTACTATACTTTTGGAAATTGTTTGTTAATTTTAAATCTTTCGTTTCATTAATAAAAAATTACACCATCATGTTTTGATAATATTTTCAAATACAAATTAAAACTTTCATGCATACATAAAGAATACGTTTACAAATAATATTATATTTAATGTACTTTATTATTTGTTTATAATCATTTACAAACGTTTTTATTTTTCAGTAAATTTTTGGAATTATTTCATTTTTCGTAAATTATTATTTTTTCATTGAAAACTTTTATTCGTTACTCGCGTGGCGTCTGTAAGATGCCAGTGTGTACAATAACAACCAAAACTTTCAAAATAAACTAATATTTTTTTTAATTTCTTCCCAATCTAATCAATTATTTATTTTTATAAATTTATTACTAACGTTATATTTAAAGGAGTTTCTCAGACGCTACGCGAGTAACGATTCTACGAAATGCCGCGCGAGTAACGAAAGGTTAAATTGTTATATTCAACAACTTTTGAAAAGTTCGTAATAATTTTTATATAATCAAAAAACTATACTTTTACCGAATATAATATAATAAACACATATTAAAAATCAGTACATAAGAAATGAATAAAAGTTTCTTAATATAAAAGGTGTCGCTAAATTAACGCTAGATTTGAATTAAATAGAAAACACAGTTTTTAGTTCTCAGATTGTGATTTTGTGATAAAAACTGTTAATTTGCGTTAATTTTGGGACACATTTTTTTAAGTTTGATTTCAATATCATGTATAAATTTAATAACATTTAGAAGTTTATGAAAATGTCATTTTTCATTTATAAAGTAGTATAATTGCCACAATTTGTCAAACACATGGAAAATATCGAAAAATATTCCAAGGGTAGTAAATCTACAAATTTTGATAAATTATATTAACAATTTTAATAACTTGCAGGATAATAACATGTTGTTCATATAATCTATAATATGAATATCAAAAGTTCGCTAAGTTGGCATAAATTTATTTGTTTTTTAAAAAACAAATGTTGTTTCTCAATTTGTTAAAGTCTACCGATATTTCATGTCAAATTTTAAGAAGATCGGTAAGTATAGGAGTTTTGTTAGACCCTCGTACATTGGTTCATGTGGCCCAAAGAAATATAATTTAAAGTTGGTATTCAATGGATGCTTATAATATATACATAAATCAATTAAATATTATTAATTATGTTCTCACTACTTACTTGGTGATAAGTTTCAAGTCAAAATGTACATAATATCTATGATTATTACAAGATGGGTCTATATCGCAAGCCCGACAACCGAAAGACCGTCTATTGAAATCCCGACTCTATCGAAATCCCGACTATATCAAAATCTCGACAACATTATGAAATAATAATTGTTATTATTTATTGTTAATAACAATTTAAAAGTCACTACGCTACGGAATAATTTAAAAATGTTGTTGTAGACATTTTCGATATAGTCGGGATTTTGATATAGTCGGGATTTTGATATAGTCGGGATTTTAATATAGTCGGGATTATGGTTGTCGGGATTTCGATACAGTCAGTATTTCGAATTACAAGATATATCATGAATCGTTGATGTTGTTTTCTCTGAAATTTGAATTGATATACTATTAATTACTAGCATTAGTATATAAGCTACAACATCAACTACATAATCCGGGTTTTGAGTATATTCTGATTCCTGTATGTTATAGGTGATACGCGCTGTGAGCCCTGTTTTCAAAATACGCTCGAGGTGTTTGCAAACGCGGATATGAATTAATACACTCACGCTGTTTATTATTTCGTTATGCAATGTGTGTGTGTGTCGGCGTTATTTCTGTGGTTAGAGCAGTGTGTTCAGTAGCGTGGGAAGGAAGTTTCAGTTTCATAATAAAAATAGTCTGGCAGAGTCCTAATCTTTGAATCGCACGTTTTTCCAATGTTGATCATGATTATTAAAATCAACAGAAACTGTACGAAATAAAACGCATAATATAAATAAATGCAATCACAAATGGGGAATGGAAAACTTTCGGAATTTAATTAATCTGTAAAAAAAAAACAAACATGTTTTCGTTGCATCTATCCAATTAGCTGCGGAATGCGGCAGTAAAATTTGCGAAACGTTTTAATTGAATCTGGGATGCCGGACGGAGTATTGGAATTTATTCTCTATGTTTGCGATGTCGTTTGGAAGATTTCAATTTTAATAATAATAAAAAAATAAATATATACTGTAAAGTTATACTCTTGTATATTTAGGAAAATAATGTGGAACGATAATAACATATTTATTGCATCAACGGATTGGCCTACGACCAACTATTTTTCGACTTAATTTTCTCTCTCACTCTATTCTTGTTAATAAACCATCCGGATGAAGGCTGATATAAATAAAGCGAGACTTTGCTTCTAGAACTATCTTGTTGACTAATCTCACCGAATTTCATATTTTCCATAATCTTTATGTCACTAACTATAATTACACAAATATTGCTCTCTCTCTCTCTCTCTCTTCTGCTAATTCACTGAAAAAAATCTCAAACGAAATTTTAAATTATCTTTCTAAATGTTAACATTTTAAACCTAAATATTTGATAATTTATATACCTATTAACCCCTTAAAGAACAGATTAAAAAACAAAAAAGGTTGTTTTCTCAACAATTATTTTATTCTTTATTTCCATTGTATTTAACTATTCTTTTCAGAAAATTGCAGAAGAAAAATTATTACAAAAAAAAAACGTAAATTAAACTGCACTAAAGCTAGTTAACTCGCGCTATAAGAAAATGATAAACATAACAATTTGCTCTGTGTGATAAATTATTAAACTTTATCCCCTAACGTTTCTATACGAATGTTTTTCCTATTTCCATCCCACTTATTTGAACAGACATAACACTGATGAGTTACATTTTATTTTTTGTTGGTGGTATGAAAGCTGGAAAATGTTCCATTTGCACGACTTTACTCGGGTACGCGGAATATATTTAATTTCTAAAAACCGAGTTAACTCGGTTGAGTGCATTAAGACGTTAATAAGAAATTTATAACAAAATATAATTTTAAAACTTTCAATTATTATATTATGTAAATATTGAAAGTAAAGTAATTTAATATTGTTGGAAAGAATAATAAAGTATTTTATTACATCACAAAAAAAACGTAATAAAATTGATATTAATATTTTTAGGCATAAAACATAAAAACATATTTATTGACTGGAACAAATTGATGAATGAAATCATTATTTGTGATTGAACGTATAAAATTATGGACATGTAATTTATTGCATTGAACTATTTACATACAGTTAGAAAAAAAAATCTATGCGAACAGTTAAATGCCGAAAGCATCGAATGCAATTACTGAATGAATAAAGCATCTGGTCGTAAATGTAATTATTTTTTTTTGTATTCTTCGAACGTTTTTGGTTAATGGAATTTGATGAAAGCGCAAACTGGAATTGTTCAATTTTCATCAAAACACGCGCGTAGTTTGTTCCCACTGTTGTTGTTACTGCCGCTTCTGTTGCTGTTGTTGGTGGTAGTAGTTGTGCTGTTGTTATTATTGTTTCAATGGTTTACTATTTGTTTCAGCCGATGGAATGGAGCTGGAGACTCTTTATCAACGCTACTGCATTCGACTGAAACACGCCCTCTTCTTATCCTGCGTTAGCGTGGCGACAATCACTTGTCTGGTCCTCCTCATCATAACATGCTTCATGCAATTCCAAGTAAGTCTAGATTAAATTATTATTATGTAATGTTTTTAAAACAAATCTGAGTATAGATACTCGACTGTATGATACATACGTTTGTTGTGTTTAATATAATGGGAATGTGGATGTTACAATAATCTGAAGAAAAAATAATGTTTTTGAGGAATTTGTGCATATTTCTGGACAATTTGTAAACCAATAAATAACAATTCTCACATTGATTGAAACATTTAAGTTTTGTTCACAGTATTAGAAACGGTTTGCTATTATAATCATTTACGGACGAGAGTCGGATATATTCGCCCTATCTTTTATACCGTGGCGCCGCTTGTTATACGTCAGCTCATATTATTACACAGCAGTTTTAATTTGATAATGCGATCTTGGAATCTCGGTTCGCATAAGGTAAAATGATAAAAAAAAATGGAAACAGATAATGAAAAATTAACTAGATTGTAATCATAGTTTAATTATGAACAATACTTTTTTATTTTTTAATTTATAACTTGGGATATAAAGACAAAAGTGCTAACTATTTTCCTAGAATTCCCTAAGCTTTGATGGATACTGCAAATAGAAGGGGTTGGATGAATACTACTAACATAGTGTTTAATTGAAAACCAAAGCTTTCATATTTATGTGTACATGTAATCATCAATGTACTATCACGGTTCGTGCGACGGACAAACAGAGAGACGGCCAAAGGACAACATCCTACCAGGATAATCCAAATCCCTCGATATAAGCTGGAAGCTTTTGCTAACATTGCTTTAACCTATAGTAAATGAATATTAAAAGATAAAAGAAAACTAGCATTCATAGTCTGGATAAAAAGAGAATACAAAATATACAGATCGTTTTGAAAGAGACAGTTTTTTTTGCATCTAAATCTCATTTGAAAGTTAGCACTTAAAGAAAAGAAGAAAAAAACTGAATGGTTAATTCCAAAGTCTCCGAACTTTCGTCTTAATTAAACCCGTCTTCGTAATCCTTCATTAAAAAGCGTCAATTAAACATGCAAGAGAAGAAGTCAAAAAATATCATCGTGGATATTTATAAATCCAATTAAACACAATCAAGTTGTCCATGGTGTTGATGGAAGTGCGCTTCGAATAAAGTTGAGTCGCTGTTGTATTGTATGATGTAACGTGTCGGGCGGGAGTCGTATTGCAAAAGTTAAAGAAATGTTTTGCGGCCTGCGAAAGTTTCGCGCGCCCGCAGGAGGATTAAACATCGAATGCAGGGAATGGTATAAATAAAGTTCCCTCATTTACTCCATTCCGTTTCTCGCTAAAAGAAAAAAGCAAACAAAAAAATGTGTGTGTGTATATATATATATATATATATATATATAGTGAAAGAAGAAAGAATATAGCGAGTTGGAAAACTTCGCCCTACAAATTGCTCCGAGTTTATATTAATTTAACTAAAAAGACATAAGCCCTATGCGGACTGCGACTCTGGTAAACTATAGCTTTTTACTTTACGTTCTGTTTCGTTGCATCATGCAAGGGCATTGTTGTAATTAAACTTATGGAGCAACACGGAATTTAATTGGATACAACAAAGGAGAAGCGCTTTCGTATACACTGTTTGTATAATATCTCAATTTCGTCACAAAATATTTATTCTTCGATTGCTTTCGATTAAACAATATTAAATCTTAAAAATCGGTGGCAATCGCAGCCCGACAACCGAAATCCCAACAATCAAAATCCCGACTGTATCGAAATCCCGTCTATATCGAAATCCCGACAATCTAAAACTTAATAAGATTATTAATTGTTGTTATTTATTGTTAATAACATAAACTAATTTTATTATAGAATATTTCTTATTCTTAAGTTTTATAATGAATAAGTCAACGAAAAAGAAAAAATACAATAATAATTAATATTATTTATTGTTATTAAGAATAAATAACAACAATTAATAATCGGGCAAAAATGCCATTGACCTAGATCTTAAAAGTATTTTTTTTTCAGTATCCGTCGTACCTATTAAAATATAGTAGAATAATTTTAAAATGTTATTGTAGAAATTATAATAATAAAAGACACTGTCGGAATTTTGATTGTCGGGATTATGGTAGTCGAGATTTCGATACACTCGAGATTATGAACGTCTGGCTTTCAATAGGTCTTTCGGTTGTCGGGCTTGCGATATAGACCATTTAAAAATGTGTTCATTTGCCAAACAGAAAATAGATTGACAAAGTAAATTATCCAAATATAAATATTCGTTTTGTTATAAGTAAAGTAAAATGTATCTACACAAAATAAATTATTTATTTATTGGTCCCAATTTGATCCAAAGGACTTTTGAAGTAAATCAGGTAAAATAAATTATTTATAAACATTGGGTGGAAATAAAATGTTCCTTGTTCAAGTACTTTAATTAAATTGAATTTGAAAGGGATCTTTTCCAATTCGAAGCCCAATCATAAAAGAAAAAGCCACTTATTTACAAAGCCAATCCGAAATCAATATAGACTTATGGAATAAATTAATAGATTTGAACAAACAAATTTCAACATATTGTAATGGAAATAAGTAAGTAAACTGACAGCCTATAAAATGTCTTGCAAAACGACGACAGTTAAAATTATATATTTGACAAGTAATTTTGTATCCTTTTAGCGTTGAGAAAACTTGTACCTATTGACATACGGTGTTTGTCAATTTTCTTTCTTGAGGTTCACCTCAATATGTAAAATTTATAACAACAGTCACAACTAATAACAAATAATATAAAAAATTAACATTCTTCTATAGAAACATTAAATATAATTCAATACTTATCGAAAAAAATCACTATATTTTCATTTACTTAACTATTTTTATTTTTGCCCATTTTGGATCAAAGTCTATTTTTTAATTATTCTGCTTATCTAGAGAACAGTAGTATATTTAACGTTATAGGAAAAATATTCTATACTTTTGAGAAAAATTTAATTAAACAATTTTATATAAAGCTAATGTAATTACAAACATTATCTATTTAACGCTTCAATCTACACTAGGTATTAGTTTAACGGTCATTTGATTATGCATAGAAGGATTAATTTATATCCACTTACCATGAATTTCGATAGCAATTTAGGTCAACTGAATTTGAATTTAAGCTGTGATATTGGATTACATGTCTCATATTACGATCATCCATATTAGGGCCTTTTATAATATATAACATTATCGAGATTTTGATGACATAAGAAAGTGAAGGGATCGAAAAATGGATTAATTTTGTTGACTTCAAGAAAGTTTTGTATTTGATTTGTTTATATAAACGACATTGATAAACATTTTTTATTGTTAACAAACTAATGTGTTTCAATTATAAATAATTTTACATTTATATATTTTTACTTCAATCTATTATTCTCATATATAAATTTATATCTTATTTGATAAATTTGTCTATGAACTTACTTTTTGTCTGTATAAATCTGTATCGAATATTGATGTAAAAACATGTATAAGATTAATTGTTTTATAAAGTTTTCTACTTTTTAAGTTTTGAATTTATGTAATCACTGTAATGGGATAGAAAGAGAGTCGTCAATGTATTTTTTGACTTTTTACATTATACTTTACTTTTTTTGTAAGAATACATTCCAAATTGGATATTTTATTTACGTAATTAATTTTTCACAAACGCCTGGAATACTATATTTATGTGACCTGTTGATTTCAGTTTGAAAACAGGTAATGACGTCGGCGTTAATCGCTTCAGTAGGAGAAACCTGAATTTAGTTTGCTTTCCACCATATTTCCAGCAAAGGAAAAAAATCGATACTTTTTTTTCAATTTTCTTTAGAAATTATTTTGGAATTGAATGGGTTTTATATTCAAGCTTTAGTAAAACTAATCCATCGAAATTGCTCGGGAATTCGATTATTCGTTGTATTATTTCGCTGCAGTTTACATAATACGTCGGTTTTATTTGCGAAATTTACAGGAGAGAATCGGGTCAGTACACCAAACAACCTCCTCCTCTTCCCCATTCCGAAAATCCTATATACCAATACCAACCCCCTTCGCCCCTCATCATCGCACGTTAATCGGATTTCGTTGTGGCGGCGTCGGCGGCTGAGGATTCGTGGTGAGAGTCTCTCTTCTCGTTCTCATCGTAACCCTATGGAAATCGATACGAAACCCATCAACAAACCACCCTCATCGACCCTCCGCTTTTAACGCACTTCGACAATGGGTTTCTATTTCAATATCCAGAATTGGCAATAAATAATTTATTTAAAACAAAAACCCAATATGGTATGAATTTTGGACGAGAGATTGGTTGGGTTTTGTTGGTTATGGGAATCGATGGAGGACGAATCTATCTGAAAGCTATGCTCCATTCCATTTGCGCCCTTTTCACGTGCATCCATTCATTCGGTGCACAAATTGATATTAATGAATCTCAGATCTCCGAGAGAAGAGACCAAGGAAAAAGGAAGTATTTAAATAAAAGAAAAGGCATTCCGAGCAACACAAAGCGAAACTTAATTTAAAATAACGATCTTTATTTAAGGGTCATTATTTTACTTCAAGTTACTATATCATTCCATTTACTATTACCCTTTTATTTTGTATACATACATAAATTATTCAATTGAACAATTTAATATGAAAATTATTATTTTTTAAATGTATACAATCAATTTTACATTACTTTTCACTATTGAAATCTATATATTATATGGTAATTTTTTTTGTTAATTTATTTAGGTAAAAAAAACTTAATATTGAAGTCAGTATGTATTATGACAAGGTTCAGATTAATCTTCTATTCGATTTATAAATCTTTTAATACACATATTAAATAAATAATCTGGATCTATAATATTTAATAATGTATTATTTCGATATGAAACGATTGGAACGCATCAATTTGATTTATTTTATTGTTCCAACTGATTTGATAAGTGTAATTTACGTAACATGAATATGTAATAATAATAATTCATTTATAACAATGTGTATTTATAGTAATAGAATAAATAATGTTACATA